GCTCAGTAAAAACCTGTGATATGCAAACGACACAACCTTGCTTAGTTAAAGTGATGAGGACTTAAAGCACTTACTGTTGAAAATCACAGAATACAGTCTTTAGCATGTATTTTTCCTCAATGTAAAGAAAACAAAGATCCTCACAAATGGACCAATAAATAATAGCATGAGAAATATAGAAAATATTGAAGTTATCAAAGATTTCATTTTACTTGGATCCACAATCAACATCCATGAAAAAAGCAGTCAAGAAATCAAATGATGGAGGCGGGGCTTGATGGCAGCTAGGGTGAACGTGTAGTGAAGGTCGCCGTCAGCAATAACTCAGAATTCCAGGCAAAAAAGAGGCAAGACAGAGCTCCAAAACTCAGACCCATAGAGATAGGAATAGTTTAAAGGTTTGAAGGCTTATAGCCTGTGGAATTTGGAGCTGAGGCGGGAAATCTCGTAGTTTTGAATTTGCCGGCCAGGCACGGAGGTCTGAGCCCACATTCTGGGCGAGTCCTAATGGCGGGATGAAATAGGGGCGGCAGAGACCCCACGGAAACATGCCGCGGGAACCTAGGGGGAAAAAAAAGTGCACAGTATACTTTGCCGATTTTGTGTGGTTCCGATTTAATTTTTTCTTTGGTGTTGGGTAATAGGTGCGCTCACAGTTTGCCCACCTACATTCGGGTGAATAGAGGTAGAGGCTTAGCCGAGTGGCCACGACCCACCCTCACCCCTGGCAGTTTCCTCTGCCAGGAACTCACACACTTAGACAAAGCTGAGATGCAGATTTGGTTGGCCTTTTTTCACTGGGTTGAGAGGGGTCCTGGTGTAGTGCTGTGGGTTAAGGTACCGCACCGCAAATTCTTTTGAACTACAAGGTTGGTGGTTCAAGCTCACCAGCTGCTCCTCGGAAACCCTATACGGGAGACACGGATGTGCATTCTATTTGGTTGGCTTTTTTTTCCCGCTAGTTAGAGAGGCATCCCGGCGTAGCACTGTGGGTTAAGGCGCCACTGTAAAGCCTTTTGAACTGCAAGGTCGGTGGTTCAAGCTCACCAGCTGCTCCTCGGAAACCCTATACGGGAGACAGGGATGTGCATCCTATTTGGTCTGCTTTTTTTTTTCACTGATTTTAGAGGAATCCCGGCATAGCACTGTGGGTTGAGGTGCCACACTGCAAAGCCTTTTGAACTGCAA